CAGCTATATGAAAAACTCTGTTCTCCCAAGTTGGATAGTTGCTGATTGGACTTACAGGAGAAATGTCTCTTGTACCCAACAAATGAAATATTTGTAGACAATGCTTAATTTTGCGTGTGGTCATTTTTGTCTGTTGCACATACCTGCATTTATGGATGAAATGCCTGCCTTGATACAGTTATATATTACTTTCAGTAATTTTTAAGACAGTTTTGTTGGGGTTTCTATACAGACTACACAGAAAAAAAAAAGTTATACCGTATTACCAATTATTTTACTATCCTCATACTGTGGTGAATGTGTTTAAAAAAAAAAAAAAAGGATGTTTTTGGCATGTTTTTGTATCATTATTTGAAGTCGTACTTCATACTATGGAATCCTATTTTACAGTGTTGAAATATGGGTATAATATAGCTAACTAAGAGAGGAAAAAAAAAAAAAAAGAAAAATATCCAAAATGAAGGTGTTGGCTAATGCTACAGGTATAAGTTGTGGAATCTTGATATTCTCCAGAGGTAGGAAATGAAAGGCTACACTGGAAAGCTCTCAGCAAGGCTGTGTCTTCAAATGAAGACCTGTGAAATGACAGCTTATCAACCTGATCGGAAAATGAAAAACTTACGTGGCAGGGTTTGTGTCCCTTCAGCCCCACCCCTCCTCCAAAAAGAAACCGTGGTAGTTTGGAGTTACTTCAAGCTCAAGTGAGCTGCTGGGGAGATGGCTCATTCAACAGCGTGGGCAATGTGGTCCGAATATGTAATGCAGTGTATTTTCTGACCTTCTTCGTTGTTAGATACCTAACCTATGTGCATGGATGCAAATATTTTTGGTATATACAGTTGTAATCGTACGCAAATTCCAGTTACAGCTTTAAACAATGTTTGAAGTGTAAGAGCTTTTCTGTTAAGGCTTTGTTGTAAGAGCAAAGGTATTCTGTGCAGGTTCTCGTTATAAACCCTTGTTTCTGGAAGGTGGATTTAAAACCAGTGGGGGACACGGTAATTGCAATTTAAATGGTGAAAAGTTGCAGTTCTGTCATGGCAATTGCTCATTGTTTTGTCTTGGTCCTCTGACATCATTGTCCTTGTCTTTTTCTTGTCTCTGCTTTCCCATTATGCCATTGGCAAGGAGTTGAGAAGTTAGTCCATTACTTCTGTGATAAAGCGTGGTACAGTACAACTTCAGATTTCTTCCCATCTCCTCCTCATGCATTTTCACTGTTGGTTTTATTTTATTTTTTTTTCCAATGCATGATGCATGTCTATCGGAGATGTGCATGCAGTGGTCGGATTTCTCATTGCTTCACTTCCCTCGTTCCTCAAAAGACTGCAGGGAGAAAATGCCTTTATTTCATTCTACAGAGGTGTTGTATAAATAATCAAGATGGGGACTGAGGTTAGAGATGCAGAATAACCAAAGCAAAACTGAAGGGAATTTTAAAATAGTGGTAGTGCAATGAGTATTGCTGTCATGACCACATTGATTTAACTTCTTGATCAATAGAACATACTTGTCTCAGTTTTCCAGTACAAAGCTAAGACAGTCTCAGGGGTTTGGTAGCCATGTAGTCCTGGTAATCCTCTTTGTGGATATGTTGTCATTTTTCTCTGGATGATGTAACAGCCAGTTTTACCTGAGAGAAATAAGAGAAAAATCTCTTAAGCTAATGTGGCAGGGTAACTTTGGTGCGTCAACACGTGCAAGTCTCCAAAGCTGTTGCTGGTACAGAAAAGTCTGTTTTTGTTGTGCAAAAAGGAGCATAGGCACAAAGCGTTTTGTCTAACGTGCTTTCAGTTTGGGGAGAATTAATTTTCTTCAGTTACATTGTACTCAAAATGCTTTAGAGTCTAATTTTAAGTTTCTTCTATCCCAAAAGAATGCAGGTGTTTGTCCACCTGAAAATTTTCCTTGAGACGAACCCAGAAGTCTGTTTTTAGCATGATGACAGTCTACACCAAGTTATGGCCCGTCTCACCCTGAAATACTATCAGAAGTGCACTCAAAGCAATGCAGATGAGACTTTTTTTTAAAAAAAAATATTTTCGTTAAATACTATGCCTAGAGGGTGGAATGCTTCTTTATCTTTCTATTCCCCCTTCCTTCTTGTGATGGAATTCACCAAGTACTAGTCCTTCTGCTGGTTGTGTTTTGGTTTTTTTTTTTTTGACTAATAACATGGTCATAATTTATTAAGCCTTTCCTAACACACAAGCAAAACTTGTGTCTAAGACAAAGATGTAGGCTGTGGGTGAAGATAATGCAGTTTTCAGTGTTAGATACCTTGTGAACTGCTACGTTGATATTTTGGAAGCGGTCAGCTTTCAGCGTCATCGTGAAAGTTAATGCAGATAGCAGTTTGAATAGATTAAAATCGATAATCATGATAATTGGACAAACTTTGACGAAGTAGAAACACAAAATTAGAAAATAGCACAGTATTTAAAACAACTTAGCGAAGATCATAACAGAGCTTTAGTGCCCTCGTAATTCTGAGCATGTAGCTGTCTCCCACCTTTGAATTGCTAACGTTCTGGATATTAACCTGCGTAGACGTTTTTAGGTCATGAAGGATAATGAGGAAGATACATATTTGGCTCCTTTTATATGTAAAAATACAAAGTTCTCCAAATGGAAAAGCTCAAATAATGCCTAGTTTATGTCAAAAGAACTCCAGATGGCGTTATCAAGAAAGCTTGGTGCTTTGCTATATTGCAGGTGGTTTTGTGTTTAACTCAACTCTCCATACAAATGTAGTTTCTTCTGTAATTTACAGATTTTTTTGTTTTGCTGATTAGCACAATGAGGACTTTTGGATTTAGAGTTAGGATTTGTAATGCTCAGATATCTTTCTGCATTCCTGAAGACTGGCATTTAGAAACCCTTTCTAGGTGAGGGGAAGTTTTCTGACGATGATTTTTACATACTAGAATTTGATACAGTTCTGTTTGCTATAAATATACTAGTTTTTGACTTCAAGTAGGATTAGGAAATCTGAATTATTTGTTGGAAGTATTTGGGAATTGGGTATGTATTGCTTTGGATTCTGCACTCGTTTTTTAGCAGTTTTGTTTTTGCAGGTGAGGTCTCAAATCAATTTTGGCTAACATCTGTTAGCTCCTAAGCTGGAAGGAGAATAACTTCTGTAACCCATTACATAAACACTGAAAAATGACAAAAATATCTGGAGGATTGTTTTTTATTTTTTAAGATGTAACTCTTACCAAATTATTAATTGTGTTTAGTACTTCATGTAAGATTACTCAGCTAAGAAGGATTCACAAAGTTAAGCTAGTTTTGGTCACGTAAGGAATAACGTTTTGATACTTATTTGACTCCATTTCGAAGGCTTTTTTTTTTTTTTTCCCTTCTTCTCCCTTTTTCTAAAAGAATTGTATTCAGACTGCTCAACATAATTGCACTTACCTGTCTATCACTTTCTGATGCCACTGGTCCAGCTTAGTTTGCTTTTGTTTACAGGTAGAACTGGTATATTCTAAAGGGAAGAACTGCTAGGAAGTTCTCAATTAGATTGAGAAATCTTGATATTTCTCTCATTAGTCTTAATTTTTTTTTTTTCTTGATGAGGAATTCTGAGGAATGAGTTTTCAGTAGTAATCCTACCAGGGAAAAGATGAAAACCTTAAAGAATCCCGAGATGTGCTACTGTCCTAGAAATGTTAGAGGACTATGGCATGCACAGCTATTGTTACTTTCTGATGATTCTAAGAGCTAAAAAGACCAGACAAATAATTAGCTTCAATTTGAATTCACAACTTCAACTTAGAAGTTGTCAATAAAAAAAGAGAGTGACCTGAAGTGACATTTTTAGTCAAATCTCTTAAAGAAAAATATTACTTCTTTTTTTACTATGACTATTTCATTAGTAAACAAATATTGTAAGCCTATTTACTATGTACGTGCAATCTATCAGTTGGCAAGGACTCAAATAGTTTAGGGATGAGACTAGCTTGTAGTAGTTCAGTTCCTCTCCTTTATAAAGAAAATGAGAAAATCATCCAAACCTGAAAATTGCTAAAACTATAGTTTAAGTTTAAATAGGCTTTGCGTTTTGTCATGACTTGCAGAATTTTTAGTATTTGTTCCAAGATCTGTATACAAGTTGCAGGTATGGGATGTGTTTGTAAAGCTAGTGTACAGATTCATCTTTAAAGAATTTTTACAGGGAAGAGCAAAGAGGAAAACAGAAATGACCCAGAAGATGTACTGGCAGTTCTCTTGTATGATACGTGTCTGATTAGAGTGTATTTTCTGTTAAAATGAAAAATCCTCATTAAGTTAATTTTATCCCTTGGTTATCAGTGTAGTGGTACATGATCTCTAGCTTGATTATGTGCTCTGTTCTGCTGCTTCATTGAAGATTTTCTTTGTCAGTCCATTTGAAATCCATTCAAGATCAAACAATTACTGCAGTCTAGTCAGTAGGATTACAACATAACCTGCATCCCCTTTTCTAACCTCAGTAGGGCCAGGAAAATGCACTGTAGATTCACGTGGTCCGTTAAACTCCTTTCCTGCCTGTACAGTGTAGAACGTTGGTAAGAGGGTTGGGATAGTTAACTTGAGTATGCAGTGATAGAAATTAAAAGATGGATACAGTCTGATAGCTGTTGCATTTGTTTCTTAAGCACTTGAATCAGAATTGATCAGTACTTCTGTGCCATTTTTATGCCGTCCTGCAGATTTAGGTGAAACCATCAGCCATGCCTTTCTCATGTTTTTTTTTTTTAAGGTAATTGGTTTCTTTTTTTGTCTTTATGTTGTTGTGTATTTCAGTGCTGGTATAATTTTTTCCACCTAAGTTCCAAGTCACATTTGTACACGTCCCATGACCCATCCTGTTTTGCCGAAGTCAAAGTTTTGATTTTTAACAACCAGATATACAGCCGTTATCAAGCATCCAGTCAGCACACCTTGGATTCAGAATGCTACCTGGCCTTTTCTTTGCCTAATATATTATTGCATTCTTCTCTCTTCAACAGCCTCAAGTACTACAGCCTTCCAGCAGCCTTCCCAGTTCCACAGACCTCGCCCAGGGAAAACTAATAAAAATGCCACATATCGAGGCCCACAGTGAATATCCTAAACATGGTCTGCATGAATATAGCAATCATCAGAATCAAAATGCTGCAAATGTCTCTCTCACAAATAGCCTGAATGATGTAAACTCTTTAAGGAGCATACGATTAAACATAAAAGATGAGAATACGTCATATTTGGAAAATGTGAACAATAAAAATACCGAAGGCCCTGCAGAGGTGGCTGGTAATAAAGAAGGTATGTTACCATCTCGATCCTGTGTTCAGATCTCTACACGAGCTGATGCTAGAGAGGTGCAGACTGAATTAGCTGTGAAAAGTCAACCCTCATTCACAAACCAGGCTTCTCGGCCAAAGACTCTCAGAATTGCAAAGCCCCCAAATGCTTTAGTGCCTCCTACGGCGGCCGTTCTCGCGCGATCTGCAAATCATTCCGCTGCTTCCAAGGAGGGTGAGCTGCTGCCGTTAAGTAGTTCAACTCAACTACAGCCAACATCTGGTCAGGATAACCTAAAGGCTAAACAGAATCAGAAAGTGTCTAGACTTCGCCCACCGACTATGTCCTTTGTTAAATCTAAGCAAACGAGCAGTCAGAAAGCCACAGCAGTATCTCCAGAGCCTCAAAACACCTGCCTGAAGACTAACATCCCAAAGCCACTGGTACAGAGAAAAGAGAACATGCAGACACAGAATGCGGCTGTGCATTCTGCGGATAGTTTGCCATCTAATCGGTATTCCCGCCTCCCGAAGCCAAAGACACACTGAGAACCTACCTACATCTCACTGAATGATGCCATACATCAGTCTTCTTCCTGTGTTTTGACTGCCTTTGAGGCTGCTTTATCTACAGCCTGCAAATCCTGAATAAATATTAAAAAGAGCATCTTTTCTGTAGTGTTCGCATACTCCATCCTGTTATGTTCTGAGCTGTGCAGCTTCTCTTGAGAGTGTTTTATTACAGTGTAGGTTTGTATTTAAAAATCGTGTTGCCCAGTGATCTTGGTAATTAAGCAAATACTGAAGTGTCTGGTGACCAGGAATCCCAGAGTGCTGCACTGTGCATTTCAGGATGGCAGGAATAATTTCTTGCCTCTATTTATTAGACAGTGAAATTATTATTATTATTCATTTTAACTTCTTGGTTCTGAATACCCAGTAGGTTAGAGTGGTGGAAAATTAGGCTTACTAGCAAATGTTTTATTGGCCATAATCCTGACTCTGTATTCCAGAGGCCTATGCAAAATTCCTTATATTTATCATTCTCTCGAGACTGACATATTTAATGTTATTTAATCTGACGGGTTGGGTGGGTTGTGTTGTTTTGTTTTGCTGTAATCTGAGGTTGCCCTGTTCTTTATTTACCCCGTTTTCACTGTTCACAGACAACAGGCAGACTTCACAGGGTGAAACAAACCTTTTCTCTTAACCATCATCATTTTGTTAAAAGATTGTGGTATGTTTTTATTGTGTTGAATAGACACGTTACTGGGTAGAATCTTGAAACGCAGTGCGAAGGATACTTGTGCAAAACTTTCCAATGCAAGCTTTTATGAATTGGTAAGTAGGGAGCCTGTGGGCATAAGGGGTCCGTAACACCGATGTCGAGGTTGCACAACATGCATTTTAATTAATATTTTTTTAACTTTTATTGTACTGCTTGTATTTATTGATTTGTTTAATATTGAAAGACTCTGAAGTACCCGACTTGAAATTTTGCACAAACTTTTGACCTATGTGTAAGGATTTGAAACTATTTTACAGAATAAAACTTATATTAAAAAAGGAACTATTTAAAAAAAAAAACCAACACCCACTTATTTGCTTTGAGCAATCCTGTTATGTCCTAATCCAGAGCTGGTACTCTTTAAGAGTTTTTCAGAGATGTTTATTGGTTTTGGGGTTTTTGTAAATTTTTTTTTTTTTTTTTTGTAATTTCTGAAGTAGTGCATGATAACTGGGAAGGAGCTTTTTTGGGGAAATAAACCAAAAATAATAAAAAAAATAATTCCTGCTCTCTAGGAGAAGTATTTTTTTCTGAAAGTGGTCTGGAAGTATATGCCCATCATGGTGCAACTATGGGACCATTACACTTGTGCTGGGAGTTAATTATATGCACATCCAGTGAAACTCTATGTCCCATCTCCAGTTCTTCCCTTCTTTCCCATCACTGTCTCTTGGATATTTCCCATTGTTTGTTTTTTTTTTTCTGTTCTTGAGGTGGTTTTAAAAATAATCAGCAGAAGGCTGATACAGTACCTCTGCTCAAAATCTGTTCCTGAACAGCATTCAAACGGAGCACAGTAGTAGCTTGTTTTCTAGGCTTTGGCTGTAGGAACTTGGCATATTACGGTATTTTCTTTGAGAGAATTAAAGTGAATAAATACAGACATTTCATAAATAAGTTTAATAATTAACTTCTGTAATATAAGCCCCTTGACGAGGGGTATCCTGATGGATACCTTAGTTGGATTGGAGAAGGGAAAAAGTGTCACCTGCATTTCTCGGTACATAATTGATATCCAAGAAAGTTTTTGTCTCACTAAATTCTTTTAACTGACAATGAAGTGGAAAAATGAAAAGCTTGGGGGGAAAATGGGCAGGGGCGAGGTTTTATTTCAGAACTGCTTATCAGTCTGAAATAAGAGACCTGCAGGAATTCCTCTTAACTGGGGTAAAGACAGCCTAAGCAAGAAGTAACAGGGGTAACATTAATTGTTGCAGTCGATGTAGGGTCAAAATAACCACAAGATTGCGGTAACAATTATTCTCCAGGAAAAACTCCTCCTTTCCTCGAAAAGCATTGAATTAGATGGCCTTCAGTGTAAGCGTTTACTTTCGAAAATAAAACTGACTTTGTATTCCCCAAAACTAGCTCCTGGCAGCTAACTGTGTTTCTCAGGAGTTTAAAAAAACTGCTGAGGGAATGATCAGATTCCTGGTTGGTTTTCCGGTCCGTATAGATTTCTACGGAAGGTGGGTTTTTTTTAAGTTCACCTTCCGTGAATAGAAGCTGTTTTTTTTCTTGGTTGTATATAATTTTGTGTAAAAAGATGATTTTCACTTAATGCTCTTGACGGATATTTCACCACGAGTTCTTTTGCTTCATATTCTGGAGGTATCACCAGCTTGATTTAGTGATGTTAAAATTTTTATGTTTACATTTAAAAGTATAGATATCTATCTGTCTGCACCTTTCCTGAAAACTAAGGAATGAAGCAAAGAGATAATCAGGGTTTTCATTAAAAAAAAAAAAAAAAAATCACTATTTTTTTCTAGAAGAACAAAAATATATTTATTGTGGGATGTTTTTCTGTGTTAAAGGAGCAGAAGTAAATTATATTCTTTTTCATAGCATTTCCCCATTTTGTTCTGGCAGATTAGTGAGACACTGACCTGGGAACAGCAGGATTTGATCATGGATGAGACAGATGCTAGCCTGAATTTTATTTGTATTCAGCTGCGAGCCTCGCATCTCTCTCAAGACAACTACATGTTTTGGCTTTTCAGACTTTACCAGGGAAGGCTCTGTTGCAAGTATAGTAAGTCCAGAGTATGAGCAAAGCCTGTCCTCAGATGGGCAACTGGAAGAAAAGTAGTGAAGTTTGAAGCTTCACTTTAGCGAAGGACAGGGGTCAGGGTGTGATGGACAAGAGGGCGCTGGGTAGGGTTTGTCGGGTGGGATTAAGTAAGTATTTTCAGGTAACATATCTAATTTATGGAAGGTGCAGATTATATCATCGGTATTGGTGCAGATTATCCTATATATGTAAATTAAAGGATTTGATATCTTCAGGGTTTTGGGTTTGTTTTTTTTTTTAGGTTTCTAAAACTGGTTTATTGCCATTTTTTTTTGTTTTTGATTTCTCATTCTTTTGTGCAATATTCACAAAAGTATTAAACTACTGTTCAGTATGTGTGTACAGAGGCAATTACGCATTTTAACGAGTGAATAAACACAGAAGAAAAAAAAAAATCAGAATTGCACTTTAAATGAGCTTTATTGCTTGGAGTTGTGCCTAAAATAATCTAGATGCCTCCTGCTGTGTGTGGCTTTTGTTTGAAACAAATTTCCCTGCTAGTGTTGCTGTTTCCAAGGTATCTTCACATCACTTTCACAGAATCAATATGCACTCTAGCATGTTTAAAAATATTCATATAGCGTACTGACTTTTTGTTGTGCAATGACTTTAATTTAAGCGTGGAATTTTAACACTGACCGATGCAGCCAGATTATTGCCTTCCCCTTCCTACTGCCAGTCAATGCCAATGGCAGAACGTCCCTAGGACTAGCGTAGCCCTTGAAGAATAACGTGCCCAGCATATGTTTTTGTTGAAGTGCAATATTCTCTCTGACACTTTCTCAAAATAATTACAAACGCCCTGAAAATCCAAAACAGCACTGAATTTTTCATACAGTTCCAAAAAAAAAAAAAAAAAAAAAAAA